TCATGAGTTCAAGACTGGTCAACAACAGTGTGTTGAATATTGAGTTGCTGCCGAGTTTTTGGAAGCCTGTGTGTACATATTCTTTCATAGAAAAAAAATTAGCCTGTGAGAAAAAATTTGCTTGTGATGCCCTCGGGGCCTGACAGTGGATGAGAGAAATGAGTAATGAGCTCTGAGTGACTTAAACAACACAGAAGCTTGCTTCTTGTAGATGTAGAGTCAGGATGAGCCTTAGCTTGGTAGTGTCTCTGCTTACAGGGTGTCAGGAAGGAACCCGGGCTCTTCCTGGCGTGCATCTGCTGCCATGCTAGGTTGTATTTGTTCTCGGGACTGGTAGCACCTGTGCTGGAGGTGAAGGAGAAGGTAGCACCGAGAAAGGCAAGTTAAGGGGCTTCTCTTCATAAAATCTGTTTTTCTTCAGAAGTTAGAAGCCATTGCTGCATCATCTCTTAGAGCCCTGGTTTCCAACAAGATGCTTGGCAGCCATGCCGTCATTGTTATTTTAACCTGGTTCTTCCCAGAATCCTTTGGGATCTTAAATTTCCCTTGTAATGTGTATATTAAGTAAAGGGAATCCTGTGTGGTATCAAGAGGCTCTGATTTATGGTAGAGATTCCATTCAGTCTCTAGACATTGTTCAGACTTCTTTAATAATGCCCTCTCCTGACCTCCTGAGTTTTCTTTCTGCAGCTCCTGTCTTATCTCAGTAGGTGATTTGCTAACCTTATTTTCTAGAACTTTTTTTCTTACTTTATTGCTTACCTTTGTGGCATTATATTCTGTTTGGAGCTTAATACCCAAGACCTCTTTTCATACAAACTAGTTATGAAGTTTGGGTTTTCCAGTGAGTCTTTGTCTCTTAGTGTTGGCTTTCTTTTACTTTGGTCTCTGACTTGGAGTTGAAGACTCAGGTGCCTGGTACTAAGCTAGGCGGGGGGGGTGTTGGCTTCATTGTATGAGCCTTGAGTTGTTCTCCTGTTAGCCATTCCTCCCACCTGCAGCCCTCACTCACACCTATCGCAGTGTGGGTTGTTGGCTCCCCATTTGAGTCCACTCTGCCCTTGTTTGCTGAAAGTCTTGTTCTCCATTTCTGTTTTTATGGATTTATAACTTTACTCTTTTAGTTTCATTGGCTTTGGAAATGATTTCTTTAAAGTTTTTTATTTATTATTTTAATTTTATGTGAATGAGCGCATGCCTACATGTAGGTAGGTGCACCTGTGTCATGCAATGTCCATGGAGGTCAGAAGGGTGTCAGATCCCCTAGAACTGGAGTTAGGATGGTTGTTAGCCAACATGTGGGTGCTGGGAATTGAACCTGGGTCCTCTGCAAGAGCAGTCATTGCTCCTAACCGCTGAACCATCTCTCCAGCCACTCCCCCACTCCCAAAACTTCTTTTGTGAATCACATAAAACCCCTTGGGGTGCTGCTAGCAGCATGGCAGACCTACCTTCATTGGGAAGGACGAGGCAGGAGGATGCCTGCAGCTTTTTCGTCAGTCTCTGTTGTTTGTGTTGTTTAGAGCACAGCAAATGGGAAAGTGAGAAGGAACTGAGAGAGGGGCTGCAAGAGAAGAATACGCTTTCTTTTTTGTTTTTCAAAGATAATGCCACTATGTAGCTCAGGCTAGCCTCAAATATATCATCTTGCCTCAGCCTCAAATCTTTTTTATAATATTTTATTATTTTTATTTTATGTGTATGAGTGTTATATGCCTGCATGTAGGTAAGTGCGCCCATGTTGTGCAGTGCCCATGGAGGACAGAAGAGCTGTTGGATCCCCTGGAACTGGAGTTACGGACAGTTGTTAGCTGCCATGTGGGTGCTGGGATCAAAACCCGGGTCTTCTGCAAGAACAACCAGTATTCTTAACCGCTGAGCCGTCGCTCCAGCCCCAGCCTCTCAGATCTTAACAAACCACATAGATGTTGAATTCTGTTCTGAAAATATTCACAGCTAATGTGTTTTAAATATTTCAAGGGGTACTCCCCCCCCACAAAAAAAGAGTATCATAAGCATTAATGTTCAGCTTAAGAAATAAGTTACCTGAGGCTAGATAGATAGATCAGCTGTTAAGAGCACTGGCTGTTTTTGTTTCCAGCACCCACATGGCAGCTCACAACCATCTGTACCTCTAGTTCTTGGGGGCCTGAAGCCATATTCTGGCCTGTAAGCACCAGGCATATACAAGATACACTTACATACATGCAGGCAAAATGGTCATACACATAAAACAAAAATGAATATATCTTAGAAAAAAATTGAGTGGCTGGAGAGATGGCTCAGTGGTTAAGAGCACTTGCTGCTTTTCCAGAGGCCCCAGATTTAGTTTCTAGCCCCTATGTTGGGCAGTTCATAAATACCGGTAACTCCAGCTCCATGAAATCTGTTACTGTCTACTAGCCTCCAAGGGCACTTTACTGGCACGCACATGACTGGTGCACACAAACACATAAAAGCAAAATAAACCTTTTTTTAAAAAATATTTTTATTGTCAGGCGTGGTGGCGCACGCCTTTAATCACAGCACTTGGGAGGCAGAGGCAGGCAGATCTTTGTGAGTTCAAGGCCAGCCTGGTCTACATAGTGAGTTCCAGGACAACTGGGGCTACAGGGAGACCCTGTCTCAAAGAGACAAAAAAAATTTTTTTTTTAATTTACTTACTTGTGTGTGTGTGTGTGTGTATTGCCTGCATGTAGGTAAGTGCACCCATGTCTTGCAATGCCTGTGGAGGACAGAAGAGGCTGTCAGATCCCCTGGAACTGGAGTTACAGACAGTTGTTAGCTGCCGTGTGGGTGCTGGGATTTGAACCTGGGTCTTCTGCAAGAACCGCCAGTGTTCTTAACCACTGAGCCATCTCTCTAGCCCCCAAACCAAAATAAACCTTTTTTTGTAATAATAAATTACCCACTTGTATGAAAATATCTTTATAGCTGGGTGTGGTGGCCCATGCCTTTAATCCCAGGCAGAGGCAGAGGTAGAGGCAGGTGGATCTCTTGTACATTCAAGGGTAGTCTGGGGCTAGTGAGTTCTAGGCCACCTGGGGCTACAGAGATACCCTGTCAAAAAGACCCCCCCACACACCAAAAAAAAAAGATGCCCTTATGTGACATAGTGCCATGTACAGTAAATATGTTAAAGGTAGGTAAACGTATAAAGCACACAATATTACATTAAATATAAGCTGTTTTAACTAGCAAAAAGAATAATTTCAGGGCTGGCAGAATGGCTCAGGTGCAAGCCTGGCAATGTTAATTTAATCCTCAGAACCCATTGTGGAAGGAGAGAACCAGCCCCAAGTTGTCCTTTGACTTCTCCACTTGGCACATGCTTGTGTGCACACGCACACACACAAATAATAACAAAATAATTTTTAGATGCCCCCATGAAGCTGATGCCCTTATGTAACCGTCCTGATTGTCCCTGTCATAGTTTTCCTATAGACTCAACAGAACCTTTTCTTTATGGTTGCACTATATGTTGGCTGTCCCTAAAGGACAGGTGACATTGGAGCTGCATGCTGGGTGAGCTCTGTGACTTGCTGTTTTCCCCGGTCTTGTTCACGCTGATGTCGTCCATTTTTGCTCTTGGGAATAATATTTAATTTTATAAGAATTCCATACGATACTTGTTTTCTTATCGATGGCCATGTAGTTCTTTAGCTTTTGGTTATTAGGAATAATGCTGCCGGACATGATCCACACACTGTGGGCACTCACGGTAGCGCTTTCTAATAACGTAGAACAAGACAGGCCAACAGTATCAGTCAGTGAATTTACAGATACGTCATGTACTGTTATCCATTGGAACGTTAATCAGCTATCGAAATTAATAAACCACTTTCACTTGCTACAGCACTGACAAGCTTTGAAAACATGCAAAGTAAAAGAAGCCAGGCACAGAAATAGCAGATTGTGTGATTCCATCTGTGAGGGCCAGAGCAGGCAAGTTCACTGAGACATAATAGATGGTACTTGCCCAAGTCTGTCAGGTGCAGGCAATACTGTGTGACTGCTAATGATACAGGGTTCTGTTTTGGGTGTAAGGATGATAGGAATGTTCATTCGGGTGGTGATGAGATTGCACACCGGAATGTTAGAAAATACTGAATCACATACTTTAGGTGAGTGAATTTATTATAGGTAAATTATATACTAATAAGCGAGTTGAACATAATTTCTAGACAGTTTTCAAACTTAGTCCATTTTTAATATGGGAGACAAGGGGATCTCACACAGCTAATAGAGATAAATTCATTCTTGAAGCAAATGCAAACTCATATTTGATTATTATGAATTTAAATGTGAATACAAGGCTCTCGCAAGTTTTTGTTAGCTCTTTGGCTCTGTTTATCTGGATGATTGGGGCACCCTGCTGGGATTGAGGGTGTGTTGAGTGGAGTATGAAGCTAAAGGACCCATAAAAACTTGACCTCATTTGGGTTATATCATCTCTTGACATTTGGAGTTTGTGTGGAGGTTAGCTAAGAAGTACAAGGAGAAGAAACTGGCGAGCTTTGTCCTCTTTCCCTTTCCCCCTGACGTCTGCCACAGCCTCATTTTGTCCCATTTGTACTACTTGACCTTTGATTGGTTACAACTGTTTGACTTTTTAAGGTTTTTTAAAAAAATTATGTGTAAGTATGTGTGTATGTGTGTGCAGGTGTCCATGGGGACCAGAAGAGGGCATTAGATCCCTAGATCTGGAGTTATAAGTATGTACTGCCTGACATAGGTGCTGAGAACGAAACTTGGGTCCTCTGCAAAAGCAACAAGTGCTCTTAACCATTGAGCCATCTCTCCAGCCCCTTGTTTGACTTATTTGAAACCATAATACTATTTTTTGTTTGTTTGTTTGCTTTTGAGACAGGGTCTCAACTGGGTAGCCTTGGCTGGCCTGGAACATAACCATGTAGACCTGGCTGGCCTTGAACGTTTCTTAAGGTTCTCTTTGCTTCTGAATTTATGTAGTAAATAAGCATGTTTATATCACTTCTTAGACCCGAAACTCAGCACCGAGGCTCTGCACCCCACTCCGAGAGCGATATCCCAGAGCAGGAAGAGGAGATTCTGGGGTCTGACGATGACGAGCAAGAAGATCCCAATGACTACTGTAAAGGTGCGTCTGCCAGAGGATGCTGAGTTGTGATCCATCTGTGCAGTCCTCATCTGGTACCTGAGCACAGTTTTTTTCCTAGATAGCAAATGGTATTTGTTTTTAGTTGTTTGACTTACAAAGCATGAATTCATATTACATTTTTTTTAATTTTTAAAAAATGATTTATTTTTATTTTATGTGTATGAATGTTTTGCCTGCATGTTTGTAAGTGCCCCTGTGCATGCTATGCCAGTGGAGGTCAGAAGAGGCCATTGGGTCCCCTGGAAGTAGAGTTACAGAGGTGGTTAGCCGCCATGTCGATGCTGGGAACAGAACTAAGGTCCTCTGCAAGAGCAGCTAGTGCTCTTAACCACTGAGCCATCCTTCTAGCACCCTATACTTTTTGTTGTTGGCAGTGCTGGGGATTAAACCCAAGACCTAGAACTTATTAGATAAGTGCTCCAGCACTGAGCTGCACCTCCAGCCCCATTTTTTATCCTTTTTCATCTTTAAAAATGGTAGTATGATGCTGGGCATGGTGGCGCACGCCTTTAATCCCAGCACTCGGGAGGCGGAGGCAGGCGGATCTCTGTGAGTTCAGGGCCAGCCTGGTCTACATAGTGAGTTC